CCCCCCAGCTCTCCCCGCCCCCCTCCCCCGCGGGAGGGCCTTGGCGCCCGCCGCGCCTGCGCCCCCTTCCCGCCCGCGGGGCCCGCAGTGACCCCTGCCGGGCGCGCCGCTTCGCGCCTGGGGAGTACGGGGGGTCTCCCAACCGCTCTCTTGCTCACTCACTCATTCATTCAGTCGTTACGCATGGACTGTTTCCTTCGTACCTATCCCTTCCCGCTCCCTCTGCACGACCAGCGACCCTGCAGCACTCTGTAACGAGGTTGCCAGAGGATGCAGCTCTAGGCAAGGTCCCCGACCCCTGCCGGTTCCAAACGCTCCGCGATTCTTCCCAGAGAGAGGTGCGCCTTTCCTCCTGTGCTCTCTCCGCCTCGTCCTCCAGGTAAAAATGGGCGGGTCTGAGAGCCTGTCTTTTTTTAAAAATTATTCATTTTATTTTATTATTATTATTTAATTTGCTGTAGGGCATGTGCACTCTCCAGAGGGAGAGAGAAAGTGAGAAAGCAAGCCACCAGGTGTGGTACCCAACTACGCCATGTGGGAGCCCGGCATCCCAACCACCGCGCCACCTGTTGATCTCGGTCTTCTGATGATGGGAGCAACTTGTTTTCAGCTCTGCTTCCCTCACCACCACCTGCTGTGCTCCGTGCCTCTTTTCCGCTGAGGAGCTGTTTGGGAGCTGGGTGTTGGAGGTGATTTATTTATTTATTCTCCTATGTGCCATTTAAATCTTTTATTAATAAAATAGAAACCTAAACTCAGACAACCATTTTATTCTTGCATCTACTCTAACCATATTCTGTGAAAGCAATTCTAAGTGAACTGTCAATATACAGTTCCATCAAAAACTGCAAATTAGAAAGCCTACAGTTAGGTATGAAACTTTTTTTAAAATTCAACTTTATTGCTGGGCGCGTGTGCGTGCGTGCTCAAGATCCCAAGAGGAGAATGGAGGAGAAGGGATTGCGGTGTGACCATCCCCCTTGGGGGGTGATTTCTCGCTTTCTGTCTCTATGTCTCTTTCTGTCTGGCGAGCGCATGCGCCCTATAGTGAAAATCTCTCCAAAAAATAAATAAATAAATAAATAAATTCAACTTTATTTATTTTTAATTTGACCAGAGATAGAGGATGGGAGGGAGGGAGAGAGAGAGAGAAAGGGAGAAACCAAGCCGCCAGGTCTGGGACTCAAACTGTGCTTGGCCGTGTGGGAGTCCAGCGCCTTTAACCACCGCGCCACTTGCTGGCCCCGGTAAATGAAACTTTATTTAAAAAGAACAAATTAAATATTAGATATCACAGGATTCTCTCTCTCAAACATGAGAGGCCTCCTTTAATGTAGTCTTCAATATAGCTCATCTGCAATCAGTTGATCTAAATTCTAGACCAGTCCCGTTGCAGAAGCACTGAAAGAAAAAATGGGGGGGGAGTGATCTTCGGGTGATCTTCACACCTCCGTTGTAAAATCCGAGATCCAAAGGACTGTCATCTTCTTTAAACTGGACATCAATGCAGACACGATGGTTGCCTTGGTTGTTAATCTTCCAACTACTCTATAAAGCCAGAAAGTTCTTCGTTAAGAGGCGGCATCAACTCAACGGTCCCATTTTTCATTCTCCGTCTGAAAGGAGAAACATTTTTCCAATGGGATGAATCTTTTCCAGTCTCCATACAGAGCGGAGGGACCATCGATGAGCTGAGCTCGCAAGCTAGCATTGATGCGCAATCTGGGCACGCCATCACTTCCACCTGATGACTGCGCAAGAGTGTTTTAAAGTTAGGGAATGGGACCAGCAGTTGGTATAATGGCTATATTGCTGAATTCCCATGGAGCTAACTGTGGTTCGAGTCCCAGACCCGGTGGCTCAAACTCACGCCGGGCGCGTATGCATGCGTGCCCAAGATCCCGAGAGAAGAATGGAGGAGAAGGGATTGCAGCATGGCCATCCCCCGGGGGGGGGGGGTGATTTCTTGCTTTCTGTCTCTCTGTCTTTCTGGCGAGTGCACGCGCCCTATAGCAAA